TTCCTAGGCATGCACTTTCCCTCTGCTTTCTCAGTGCACACACATCTGACACTCTCCACATCGACTTGAAATGATTTTTTTCTGTAGCTTTCAGTCTAACAGACTGCCATTTCCTGGAGGACAGAAATGGTGTCTTATTCAGGTTTTAGTCCTCAAAATCTAACATGATGCCTGGCACACAGTAGGTTTCCAATACACATTCACAGAGGTGAAATAAACCAAGCAAGTGAACCATTATATAAGAAAACTGAGTTGTCTTAAATCCTACAGCTGGGGTTCCTAAAAGCTAAGGGCATTTTAAAATGGTTCTTCTGGAAAGCAGTATAGTCACGTGTAACAAAAACTACAAAAATGTTCTCCTTCCTTCACTTGGGATTTTCCTATTTGTGAATACTCCCCAAAGAAATAATCCAAATGGGTAAAATGTACACAGATGTTCCAGGCAACTCTAGTTATAATTGTGGGGAAAAAAAAAACACCAAACCCTGGAAGCTATCCAAGTGTCTAATAGGGAAATGACTAAGCAAACAATAGGATTATTACATAGCTATTAAAAATGACAGAGGTGAGGACTGTGTCAACATAGAGAAGTGTGTATCTGCAGAAACGTTAAGTGGGAAAAAGAACACAGACCAGCGTTTAAACAATAGTGGTTAACGAGAAGTGTGTACATTAACAAACTTCAGAGGCCAGTATGGAAAAATGAAGATGGCTGGAGTTCACTGGATGTTTTTTTTTTTCCCTGTGCATTCCATGAGTTGATGACAATAATAGTTGAGATATCATTGCAACATAATGTTCTGAAAGTCCTCTGGTGTATAGCGATCTAAGTAATCTACCAGCTTACATATTCCAAGAGAGAATTTCATGCTAAATTCTCATAAAATTATGAAAATAATGACATTTCTTTGAGAGAACAAAAATACTTTAGTTTCTTTCTTTCTTTCTTTCTTTCTTTTTAAGATTTTATTTGCTCGAGAGAGAGAGGAAGCATGAGCAGGGGGAGAGGCAGAAGGAGAAGGAGAAGCAGACTCCTCACTGAGCAGGGAGCCTGATGCAGGGCTCGATTCCAATAACCTGGGATCATGACCTGAGCCGAAGGCAGACGCTCAACTGACTGAGCCACCCAGGCGCCCCTGTTTAGTTAAATTCAACAAGCAATTCTGAGAGCTTCATTATGTTCTAGAGCACTTACATTCACAAGACATTAATGAAACACAAGGACAAAATTCCTCAGATGGATAGGAGTTATTCTTTTCACTTACTTTTATTTGAGTGACTGTACATATTAGGACCTATTAACAAAGGAAAGTTTGAGAGACCTCACAGTCATGAATAGTCTCCAAAGAGGTTCTATGTATAGTCACTGAGATATACTGATAAAGATTAAAAGGAAAAAGTCCTCATCATATAATTCTAAACTTGTGTTGCTTTACCCCTGTAGTGCACTGTGAATTAATATTTTATAAATCCTATGCTTAGTTTGTGAGTAGTAAAATACTGACATTGTGAGATACATTACATTGCAATTAAAAAAACCACAACTTTTTATAACTTGAGAAATGTTTCATTTTTATTTTTTAAAGTTTTTTTTTTTTTAAGATTTTATTTATTTGACACAGAGAGAGGGTATACAAGCAGGGAGAGGGGCAGACAGAGGGGGAGGGAGAAGCAGGATCCCTGCTAAGCAAGGAGCCCAATGCGGGGCTTGACGCGGGGCTTGATCCCAGGGTCCTGGGATCATGACCTGAGCCAAAGGCAGATGCTTAACCAACTGAGCCACCCAGGCGCCCCTCAAGTGTCCATTCTTATAAATAATTCAAAGTATTATGTTGACCATTCTCCTATACTTTCTCTTTCTTCTTCATAGTACAGGTCTGTACTATGATTACTCATGCTCCAAAGAAGATGATCCTTCTGTATCCCATTAAAATTCCTCATCCAAGAGATAAAAATTTAATCATAGTCATCTAAACCCCCAACACACAAGAAAATAGCAAGGAAAGCTGGAAACTGAAGAATAGTTTATGGGGCACCTGGGTTGCTCCAGTGGTTAAGGGTCTGCCTTTGGCTCAGGTCATGATCTCTGGGTCTTGGGATCAAGTCTCACATCGGGCTCCCTGCTCAGTGGGGAGTCTGTTTCTCCCTCTCCATCTGCCCCTCCTCCTGTTCATGCTTGCTCTCTCCTTCAAATAAATAAATAAAATCTTAAAAAAAAAAAAAGGACTATGGTTGTAAGTAGTAGCAAATGGTGTTGTGTTGATAAATACCAAGCATAGTTAAAAAGGTGGGGAATTTAATTGTGTTCCAGAAAGAAAAGGCTGTTAAGACCTTCTAGATGAACCAGAGAGTTGGGACAATGATTATTTAAGTGAAAAACCAACTTGCCCTTCCTCAATGGAAGGTGCAAGAACGAGAAGGATGATGTATTTGAGGTTTCCCAGCTGAGCTCCAGACACTGATCTGAATGCCCCAGAAAGCAGCCACGGATGCTATACGTGCTTTTTCCTCCTGAATTACCCAGATAATTGCCCTTCAGCCTATGTTCCACTAACCTGGGACTAAAATCTGTTCACTTAACTATTACATGGGCCACAACTGCCACTTCAAATGAAAACCCAGGAAGCCAAATCGCAGCTGCTGTTGAAAGTGTATAATTAGCTCCTTGTGCAGCCTGACCCCACTGATTTCTCTGACGTATTTGGCCTGCCATGTGCCCTTTCTGAGACCTCCAGCATCTTCTCCACAGCTGGAGATGCCCGAAACTGCACGGAGCACTTCCTGTGGGTGTGGCCTTACATTCTTAAGACTGCACTCTGAGTGGATCGCGTTTCAACCACGCAGCCTCATCATGCTTTTTAAAATACAACAGTGGACTATAAGTGGCTATATCAGACATGAGAGGGTTCCCTCCTTTCTTTTTCTTTTAAAAAAAATGATTTTGTAATGATGTCTTCTCAAGAAACACTATAATTGGTCAGCCTAGGGTGCGTTTTTTGTCCTCCCATATAACGTCATTAGCTATTCTCAGGAGAGGAAAGGCAGGGTATGCCCCCTGGGAGAATGACAACACTTGTTTCAAGTTGGGGAAGAGCCTGTGGGTCTTTTCCTGCGTTTGGGGGAAAGCGAATACACAATGTTCGTTTCCTAAATACGGGATGTGCTATGTGGCTGGCAGGTCATTTTCCACCATGTCACATCCTTCTGGTTGAAGGCAGCAGGGGCTAGGACAGGAAATGGCAAATTCTCAGAATGAGACAAGGCTTTCCCAGGGCAGTCATTGGATCTCTGGGACTATAAAATATGCTCATCCAGAAACAGCCTCAGATTTTTCTTTCCTGGAGATAGCCAGAAGTGAATGGTAAGTGGGGGAGGCGAGAGGGATTCTAAAAGACAGCCATTGGAATTGTAATCCTGGGGTTATATCCTTGGTCCACTACATATTTTCTGTGACGTTTCCTCATTTTGCTAAGAGGTGTCTTTGCCTGGGAATGTTTCACTGGTGGGTGGGATAACCAGGGCATGCAAATAAAATTAAGACCAAGGAGTCAGGAGACCAAGATTCTAGAAGGTTCTGTGAAGAATCAGCAGCATCTAGAACATGTCTGTATTTCGATTTCCTCATCTTTCAGAGGAGAAAATGATTCTGCTCTGATACCTCACAGTATTGAAATGCTCTATTTCTATGGCTCATTTGCCACTTTCGAAAAGTTCCTAATAACGAGGAGTACAGTGGATATGAAGGTGGGACTCTCTAGCAACTAGGAAGGAGGTACCTTTATCCCAGAAACACAGTTCTCTTTCTTAGTCATCTTCAGTTGACTTCAACTTGGTACGAGGTAGCCCTCGGTGAGTTGTTAAACTAAAATGTTGGGCACTTTATTTTATTCAGCCATTATTCATTTTTTTTAAAGATTTTATTTATTTATTTGACAGAGAGAAATCACAAGTAAGCAGAGAGGCAGGCAGAGAGAGAGGAGGAAGCAGGACTCAGGTAAAGGGAACTGCTACAACCCCAGGAAAGAATCGAAAAATGAAGAGGAGACGGAGTTCCCACACGCAGCCCCTGTCAATGGCTTTAACTGTGCTGGGGAAGCCAGAACCTGCGTGAGGGGTGTAACCTCGCTTTTGAAACCCAAGTGTGTCTGAGACAGCTACCAAGTTCATTAGGGACTTGGGAGACCAGCGGACTTCTTGATCTTGAAACCCTTACTTTTACTGAAGGAGACCTTGGGTTCAGAATACATTAAAAGTGCTGCGTCCAGATTCGCCTCGGCTTCTTCCCAAAGCCCCCCTGTTCCCCGAGAAGAGCAGACTTCTAGATTCAGAGTGAGCTAACCAAGGCTCACCCCCAGCTGAGGCACCCAGGCAGGGGGGCTCCCAGACCCTCGGCGCAGGCTACCCTGCCTCCCCGCAGTGCCAGAGGTTAGGGCCACGGGCGAGAGCCCAGCTGGGGGGCAGAGCTTCCACAGCCTGCCTCCGCCCTCAGCGGCCCGCAGCCCCCCCAAGCTCGGCGACCGCGGGGAAAACAAGATCGCCACCAAGGCGTAAACCGACCGCCAACCACCTTGAAGATCACGGGATCCTGGCCCCTCCGTCCCCCCCGCCCCCGCCACCCCGGGCGAGCAGTGGGCGCGCCAGGCAGCGCCGCGGGGGGACCTAAACCCGAGGCCCCACCGCCCCCGCCCCTCCTGCCCCTCCCCGGCTTCCCGGCCGTTTGGCGAGTTTGTTTGTCTCGTTTTTAATTTCTCCGAGGCCAGCCGGAGCAGGTTTGCTGGCAGCGGCACACCTCCGGCAGTCACGCGACCAGCCAATCTCCGGGCGGCGCTGTCGGCGGCTGCGCGCGCGGGCGGGCGGGGAGGCGGCGCGGCCGCGCGGGGCCACCTTAAGGCCGCGCTCGCCAGCCTCGGCGGGGCGGCTCCCGGCGCCGCAACCAATGGATCTCCTGCTCTGTTTAAATAGACTTGCGGTGTCAATCATTTTCTTCTTCGTCAGCCTCCCTTCCACCGCCATATTGGGCAACTAAAAAAAGGGGGCTCGTCTTTTCGGGGTGTTTTTCTCCCCCTCCCCTGTCCCTACTGCCTCGCCGCTCCGCGACTCCGACGCCGGCAAGGTTTGGAGAGCCGCTCGGTTGGCGGGACCCGCGGGCTCGCCGCCGCCCGGGCTTGGACGGGCTTTGCCACCCCCTCCTCTCTCCATTCCCCTCCCCTCCCCGCCCTCGAGCTCGCCGGTACACTTGATCGGCGGCGGCTCTCGGCTGCCTGGCCGGGGCTTCCCCTCCCCCTCCCGCAGAGCCAGCGCGCCCCTGACGCTCGGGCAGTTACTTGTCCGTGTTTGTTTCTCTTGGCTCCGAGCGCGGTCGCAGGGCTTATAAGAGGGGTGCGGGCTGGGTCGGGGCGTTTTGTTTTGTTCAGTTTTGTTCTGCGAGCGCGCGCGCGAGGCGGTAGTGAAGACCCGGAGGAAGATGTCAAACGTGCGGGTGTCTAACGGGAGCCCGAGCCTGGAGCGGATGGACGCCAGACAGGCGGAGTACCCCAAGCCCTCCGCCTGCAGAAACCTCTTCGGCCCGGTCAACCACGAAGAGCTGACCCGGGACTTGGAGAAGCACCGCAGAGACATGGAAGAGGCAAGCCAGCGCAAGTGGAATTTTGATTTCCAGAATCACAAGCCCCTGGAGGGCAAATACGAGTGGCAGGAGGTGGAGAAGGGCAGCTTGCCCGAGTTCTACTACAGACCCCCGCGGCCACCCAAAGGCGCCTGCAAGGTGCCGGCGCAGGAGAGCCAGGACGTCAGCGGGACCCGCCAGGCGGTGCCTTTAATGGGGTCTCAGGCAAACTCAGAGGACACACACTTGGTAGACCAAAAGACTGACACGGCGGACAACCAGACGGGCTTAGCGGAGCAGTGCACTGGGATAAGGAAGCGACCGGCCACAGACGGTAATGACCCTTCCCCAAACAGAACATGTGCGTCCGTCTGTCCGGCTGGGGCACCGCTTTGACCTGCTTGAGGGTCTTCACCTCCCCCCCCGCCTTTTTTTTTTCCCAGAGCATTCCGATTTAGCTTTCGGGGAGCGAACTGCCCTAATCTTAGGTTTTTATTAAATGCTGTTCGGCTGACCGCTTGTCTGGTGATAGTTTTAAAGTCAGGAGCCCCAGGGGGTAGTATCTGACCATTTCTCCAACCGAAAGCATCACAGTGCCTCCCCGCTAGCCAGCGGTAGGTCTGTGACTACACCGGGATGTTTATCAGCGGCCTCCCTCTTGGCAATGGAGAGAGAGCTTTGGGGCGTAGAATACACTTTCTGTTATGTGAAAACAACCTCATTTTGTGCCCTTAAAGGCCACTGGGCATGACGGATCCAGGCTTGTGGGTGGAGGTGTGGGTTTTTCATCCCCTGACTATTGTGCCAACTTCTGTCAGCCATTGTTTTCCTAATAAAGGTTGTGTGTGTTCTTTTTAAAACTCCCTCTTACCCTTAGATTCCTCTCCTCAAAACAAAAGAGCCAACAGAACAGAAGAAAATGTCTCAGACGGTTCCCCGAACGGGGGTTCAGTGGAGCAGACGCCCAAGAAGCCGGGCCTCAGAAGACGTCAAACGTAAACTGTTCGGTGGGTTGATTGCTAGGAGCACGTAACTGACACCCCGAATTGGGTTTTCATACCCTGACATACCGATCTTAGTGGTTGCTGGCACACTAGAGCTTGTGGGTTTTGTATTGTTTATACTTTGGGAAGTCAAAAAGTAGGAATGGGGAAGGCTGGGAATCACTGGTGGGGATACTGTAATTTTTTCACAGTTTCTGCATCCCGAGATCATTTTTCCTTGAAACACTGAATAACCAGAGCAGGTGTCCTAGCCAAGTACTTGTGACCAAAGACCGATGAGTCCCTCTGAATCCCACCAAAACGTGTTGGGAACAATAGGTTCTTTCCCCCATCTGAACAAGAACTGGGATATACCTCAGTCCCACTTCATGAGAATTCATTTCCCAGAGGTTCAGGTTGACTCAGTAACAGATTTTGAGGTATATGTGGGAAAATGGCAAGTGATTAAATTTTAAAATTTGAAGGAAAAGTTAGGTACAAATGGCTCATATGTGGTGAATCCAGTTGTTCACAATGTGAATAGAGAGGTGTATTACATTCTTTTATCATTTTCACAAACTGCCACTTTTCTCTGTTTGCTTACAAATTTGGAGAACAGGAAACGAGCCCTGTGTATTAAAAAAAAAAAAAAAGGCCGGGGGTGGGGGGGAAAAATAAAACGGAAAAATGCTAAGGTCCCTACAGAATTTTCTGATAACACTGAAGTTGCAAACCAGAAGTTAAGTTAACTTTGCTGGATTAAGCAGTCCAGGCACAAGTCAGAATATGTATACTAATTGTCTGATTGTGCTAGAACAGGATGATTGGGATTATTTGTAGGGAAAACAGATAATAACAAGAGCGGCAAGGGTAGATCTACCTTAGGCAAGAGAAGTGGAGATTTTTTTCCATCTACTAAAGTCTGATCAATATGAATAGTTAATTTGAATAATTGAGCCCTCCACTTTCCACAGATTGGTTTTTCCATAATGATCAAAGTGTATATGTTAATAGTTTGATAACTTCATAACTTCGAGGACCATGACCTCTTCCCCCAACCCCAAACACAGTCATAACTTTGCACATAAAGAGATTTCAGTAGATGTTACTAATTTTTAAAATTCTCATTTATAAAAAGGTAAGAATAAAAAACATAGAGATTAAGGTGAGATTCTAGTTTGTTGTGTTTTTAGCTCATAATGTCATATATATGATTTCTTCACACCTATCTGACATTTTTCAAAGCTTATACAAAACATCCCTGTAGAATCTCTATTTTTTAGCTATATATGAAGTGGGAAAATTGGATTAAAAAATTTCCTGAAGCAGCCTACAGCTTGGGACTTGTGGTTTGTGACCTGTAGCCTAGCTCATCAGATGAGCCACAGTGAATCACACCTACTGAATTTTGATCTGACCCCATTCTGACATACAGAGAGGCATTTGTTCGTAAATACTGCCAGTTCAGAGAATACTAGAAATAGTAATAACTTGTTCAAAAGCATTCATGTGTGTATTTTGCATATGACCAAGAAACTAGAATGTTTAGAATTTTTCTTTGGCAAGCATTTATAAGTTATAGGCCCAGGTGTTTTTCAAATTTAGAAGATTCTGATACTCTTAAGTATTACAGTTTATTAGTTTTCCTCTCTTTACCGTCTTTGACCCCAATTCTCTAGACCAGGGTTTCTCAACCTCTGCACTGTTGGCATTTTGGGCTGAATAATTCTTTGTTGTGGGACGCTGTCCTGTGCATTAGTAGAATGTTTGGCAGCAACCCTGGCCTTTCCCAACGGATGCCAGTAGCACCCTCCCCACCCCCAGTGTTAACAACCAAAAATGTCTCCAAACATTGCCAAAAGTCTCTTTGGGGGCAAAAATGCCCACTGGTGAGACCCACCGCTCTATAAACAAAAATACATGACATAGAGGAGAGTAAAAAGCTAATGAAAGAAACATTGGATGGAGAGGACTATAGTCATGAACTTTTAGTACACACTTTTCTGTTCTGTCACTTAGGTATTTCACAATTAAGACGGTGACAAAATGATTCCTGTACTTCATTGGTAATGTTATTCTAGTGCTTTTCTCCTAATTCGTTCTTTTTTTTTTTTTTCTTTTGCAGAATTAAGAGCACGTTTCCTTGTTTATCAGATACATCACTGCTTGATGAAGCAAGGAAGATATAAATTAAAAATTTTTAATACATATCGCTGACTCCATGGAATGGACATCCTGTATAAGCACTGAAAAGCAACAACACAATAACACTAAAATTTTTAGGCACTCTTAAATGATCTGCCTCTAAAAGCATTGGATGTAGCATTGTGCAATTAGGTTTTTCCTTATTTGCTTCATTGTACTACCTGTGTATATAGTTTTTACCTTTTATGTAGCACATAAACTTTGGGGGAAGGGAGGGTGGGGTGGGGCTGCAGAATTGGCATGGGGGGGGCCTTATGAAGAGCTTGCTTCCATTTAGAGCAAGGAGTAAAATATTTGACTTGCATGGAGAGAAGCAGTTTTGGGAAGGGTTTGAATTGTTTTCTTTAAAGATGTAATGTCTCTTTCAGTGAAAATTGATACTTCATTTAAAAAAAGCATCCGAATTTGAGCACCAGTTGCAAATAATGGCCAATTATTTTTACATGAAGCTTTTTCTCATTTGGGAGCTCTGATGATTCCATATATACTGGCAAATGGCTTTTTTTTTTTTTTAACAGCAAAAACAAACAAACAAACACCTATTCTCAGTCATCCCCGCTCCCCCCCCCCCCAGTTCCTCTTAAAATTGGAATTTACCAGTTAATTATTCAGCAGTTAGGTAATCATTCCAGATAATTCTGAGCAAAAATCTGGGGTATATGGGGGACTTCTGAATGCTCAGAATTGACCATCTAATTTTTATCAGGTTTGTTGAGAAATTTTCTTAATTTTTTTGGACTTTGGGCTATGTAGACACGGTCAAAATAATTCCAAATCCTTGGATATTTTTTAAAGATCTGCAACTTCACATAAGAAAAATAATGAAATTTTTAATTTAAAGCTTCTCATTCTATTTGTTAATCTGTCCAAAGGAAATGGTATTTTTAAAGGAAAGTGTGTAGAGAGAAAAGCACACGTGGAATTATTGAAATGGATACTACATCTTTAAACAGTATTTTTACATTGCCTGTGTATGTGTATGAAACAAACCATTTGAAGTGTACCTGTGTACATAACTCTGTAAAGACACTGAAAAATTATACTAACTTATTTATGTTAAAAAGAGATTTTTTTTTAATCTAGACCATATACAAGCCAAAGTGGCATGTTTTGTGCATTTGTAAATGCTGTATTGAGTAGAATAGGTTTTTTCCCTTCTTATGTTAAATAATATGGCTATGCTTAAAAGGTTGCATACTGAGCCAAGTATAATTTTTTGTAATGTGTGAAAAAGATGCCAATTATTGTTAAACATGAAGCAATCAATAAATAAACCTTCCATAGCTATTCATTGAGTTTAACTGTAATGTGCTTTATTAAGCTTGAGGTGTTTGACCTGGCATTCTAGTCTTACACAAATATAATGTGAAGTGGCGAATATCTTGATAATTTAGGCCCACGTCTGAGATGATGTTTATGTGGCTCTGAATGTGGTAGTCACTATTTTCCACTTAGTTCTGTATGAGTGAGCAAAGCTTTAGACATGTGAAGTGGAAAAGCCACATTTTCATATAAATAAGATTGTCAAAACTCTCATTAGTTCAAATATTTAGGTCTTATAGGATATGTGTCAGAACCAAAAATTTTTACGTAAGTGTAGGCTGGCTGATCACACATTTGCAGGACTGAAAATGAAAGTAACATGGTGACTTCTCTAAATTGTGTATTTACACATAGAAGTGTTGTGAGAAATGAGAGCAGTTGCTTAGACCATCTAATGTACACCTCTTGTCCAAAGTATTAAGATATATATAGGTCTTTTAGAAATTGGCATGCATTCCACACTAATTTAAAACAGTATTCTTCAAATTAAACTGGTCATGACAAATTCCTCAATTTTGAACTTTCCTGGTGATATTCCACAGAACCTAAAACTGGTTAATCTGAATACCAAATCAGGGTTTGGGGCCCATATCCACATGGCAGAGATAGATATTTTTTTATTTAAATAAAAAAATTTAAACAAGGCCTTTTAAAGTCAAATTTACTAGAAACTGATTCCTGTTATTTCACATTCTCTTAAAAATGTAGCTAAGGTGTAAAAGTAAATTATTTTTTCTAGGCATCTGCAGATGGTTAAATTGCAAAAATTTGAATTTGGGTTAAACTGTTACCCTCAAATACTTGCATTTACATTTTCACACCCCAAAAGGGACTCTAAACAAGATAGTTTGAGCTTATTTTGACCTGAAGTTGCTTTAAAAAAAGGCGTGTGGAGGGGGGTAGGTCGTCTCTCTTCTGCTGCCGGGAAGGGAAAAGAAGGTCCTTTGGTGGCTGGGCTACATCTTCCAAGTAGGTATTATTTTAATTAAAGGCTAAAGGTGTTTTTATGATTCTATTCAAAACACGCAGATGGGGTGTTTTTTCAGGAAGACACTGAGAAAGCAAGAAAACAATTCAAAATGGGGAGGAAGGAATGGAGAGTCAGGAAATAATGAAATAAAATTACTTTCTGAGCCAAAATGCGTACTTCAAAAAGTCTCTGACAAGAGAAAAAATCCTCTTAATTGCTGCCTGTACCCCATTTTCCTTTCCTCAAAAGGCATCATTAATGTGAATTTTTAGAGACTGCGTTTTAGGAGTTCTGGGCCAGGAAGAAGTGGATGCTTGCCGCGCCAGGCACGTTCACAGGAACGCAGCCCCCGAGTCACCGGGTCGATCCTTTCCACGTCTGTGTCAACTCTCCAAGTGCGTCCCCGATATTCGGAGCGTCCTCTCCCCGGCCCCTGACGGCGGGGCTCGCCGCGGGCGTCCCTATGAGGGGATGCGGCCGCGGGCGCCAGCCACCCACCACCCTGCTGCCCAGGCTCGTGCGTCGTCCTCTCTCCAAACTGCCCCGAAGCCCCGCACCCTCCCGTCCCGGCAGCGGTGGGGTCCGGCGGCTGGCGCCCCGGGACGAAAAGCCCATTGAGTCTCACTGCTCGTCTGCCACTTGCAGCGCCCGCGCCGCCGGGGTCACTGCGCGCAGTTCCCGCGCCCCGGGCGCCCGCAGGCGGTGCAGGGCGGCTGCGCCCGGGCCCACGCAGTGGCGCGGGGCAGTTTCTCACCAACTTTCCTCCCTCATCATCTCTCCTCCGGGCTAAGAAAGAAGCGGAAGCCCCCCACTTCTTTCCACAGTCATACCGTCCACACCAGCACCTTGCCAATTCTAGAGCGGTGGGGGTATCTGAGCGACGGGGAGAACCTTTCCGAGTCAGTGGAGCCTTCGGGGCAGCAGCCCACTCCCACTCCCACCCTGGGCTCCAATGATCCGCAGCCCCGCGCATTTCGAAAGGCTTTCCGGATCGCGGGGGGCTAAGGAGGACCGCAGCGGCCCGCAGGAGGGGCCGAGCGCCACAGCCGCTTGCGGGTCGCTTCCAACCTTGCAGCCGCTTTGGAAAGTCCACCCCCCCACCCCCTCAACACGCATCCCCAGCTGTCCGGCGTGGAGGACTGGGGCAGGGAAGAAATGGGGAAATGTGGGGCCAGGTGCATGACTGCGGGACGTAGGGGACCGTGGAAATCCACAGGACTGGAGCGGGGCGCGCGGCCTTTCAGGCCACGGAGCGCCCACCGCCCCGGCCGCGCCTAGCAACTTTTCCCGGCGGCCGGGAAACGCTGCCTTCGCCATTTCATCTTCATCATTGTGAGCGTAGACACTTGCTCTTCATAAGGTTTTTTTTTTTGGATTGAAAAGGTGTTTTAAATGCACGTCTAGGATCTCCAATCTGCATTTCAGAGTGTGGATTTCTTTTTATTAATTTGCCATCTCTTTCACCTGAGCCACACCCAACGCCCGCTCACCTCCCTCCCCGCCAACATTAAGGTAAAAATTCTGCAGACGAACTTGGGGGGGTGGGGGCAGGGAAGGAGGGCCCACGGTCCTGCCAGATCCCCTCCGCCCACCCGGGGTCGGGGTGGGGGGAACCTCCCGGATCTCCGCTCGCTTGGGGGTGGGGTGGGGTGGGGTCAGCCTCAGTCGGACCCTGCAGAAGCGAAAGTGTAGTATTTGCACGGACGCCAAAGTCCTCGTGCGGCCGCCCGCGTCCCAGGCCTGTCTCGCGTGGGGACATACAGTAGGCAATTATTAGAAAGCGAAAATACAAAAAGAAATCGGTGCGTTTTGGGCGCGAAACGTCGACGCGCCTCAAAGGAACGCGAAGAAAAGGCAAGGAAAAGGGCGCGCGGCCGGGACGCGGGGCTGGGGGATTGCATCATTGCTGCTCCCCCTCCAGAAAATGGGCTCCGAACCGCGGCGACCATCATGGCGCTCGGGTCGGGCCGCGCTTCCCGCGCGCCTTCCCTGAGCGCTCGGGCCGCGGGCACTGAGCCCCAAACGAGCGTTTTGCAAACATTCCCCCCCCTCCAACTCGGGCGCCTGTCCCCCCACCCCCTCCTTCCTTTTGTGTGCCCATGTATGTGACTGCGTGCGTCCGTCTGAGTGTGTGTAGGACTAGAGAACTTGAAGATTATTTTTTTTTCCTTTTTTTCCCTCCCTTGCTGGTGGTTGTAAACTTGATTGGCATTGGCTGCGCCCACTGACCCCTGCGCCGAGTCCACTGCAGATTTAAGGTGGATCCGAAAGGCTGCAGCTTCAGGCGGAGTCTCGCGCTTTAGCTGGTTTGGGAGGAAAGGGAGGAAAGGGGAAGGGGAAAAAAAAAAAAAAAAAAAAAAAGTCCCAAACCGTGCGCCCGGCGCGTTTTCACGAATCCCCTGCGGTACCAGCCCCCGCGCCCGCCCCGCCCGGCGAGCTCTTCCTCCGCCCACCTCCCGCTCCTTCCCCATTGGCCGGCCGGTGCAGTTTGAATTTTTTCTTTTCTTTCTTTCTTTTTTTTTTTTTCGGATGCTTGTTTTCTTGTAAAAAATACAGTACCCCACCTCGTACTATGAAACCCACTGCGGCGGCCCGAGGTGGGGTGTTTTAGCTGGTTTGGGGGAGGCGGGGGGGGGGCGGAGCATCTGTGCCAACATTTTGCCCCGAAGTGCGGTTGACATTGAGCAGGCGGATAGGGGAGCGTGGGGCCGCGGTAAACAAATTGAGTAGCTTCGGCGGGGACGGAGATGTAGTATAAAACGTTAATGGATGTCCAGGGCGCACCGTTTCGCCGGCTGCTGGTCAGAGGTGCTAGGGAGTTGCTGACAGGATCCCAGGAGAGGATGCACCTTCCCCTGCCTTGGAAAGGTAGACCTGGGGAGGGCTGAGGCTGGGGGTGAAGTTGGCCCAGAAAAGAACATCTTCTCACAAACAGGGGGGTGGGGTGGGGGGAGAAGAAAGAAACAGGGGAGGTGTAAATATAGCTCAGGTCTATTACTTCAAGCGCTGCTCAGCTAGCATGAATCATAATTCAGCCAGTTGCTGTCATTTTTATTGGATTTTTAAAAAAGTTTTCTCTCTGATTTCGAGAGTGCTTTTGAGTAAGGACAAGTGTTAAAATAAAATTGAGAAAAATGAGAGAGGGAATATGACTTTTGAAGTGACTTTGGTTTCTGGGTCTGGAAATTAATTCTTTTGATAAAGTCCTGTAAGGTTTAGGATAATGTTAT